GCAGGGAGTGGAGGGGTTGTATGGGTCAGGCGTTCTGGGGGTCTTGTCAGGGGGTGGGGAGCGGTTGGATAGGCGTGGGAGTCCTGGGGGTCTGTCTGGGGGCGGGGGTGTGGATAAGGGTCGGGGCAGTCAGGCGACAGGTAGGGGGTAGGATCCTAGGGGGGCAGTCAGGGGACAAGGAGCAGGGAGGCTTAGGGTGGGGTCCTGGGGGGCAGTTAAGGGCAGGGGTCCCAGGATGGGGTATTCGGGGACAAGGAGCTGGGGGGTTGGGAGTTCTGAGGGGGGCAGTCGGGGGGCCCGGGGCAAATTGCCCCCCTTGCCCCTCCCCCCGGGCGGCCCTGAGAAGGAGGGTGTGGATGAGGGCAGGGGCGGGGCTAGGGCAGGGTGGGGGCGGGGCTCCCTCGGTGCACACCCGAATGAAAAGTGCTGCGCACGTCTAGGCTTCCCGCACTGTGCGGGAGGGACCGGAGCTTGTCCCTTCCTGCCCACCTCCAGGCTACCGCTGGTCGCCCCCAAACCCAGCCGCCGCTGGCCCCCAGCTGCAGTGCAGGCAGGAAGGGGTTAAGGCTGTGTGGAGAACCTGACTGCAGGGGTGAACTGGGGCAGAGAGGTGGCCCAGCAGGGGAAGGGGCCTAGCACCGCTCCAGAGCGGCGGAGAGGCCGCCCCGTGCCGGGGCGGTGCGGGGCTTTGACACACGCAGGGCTCAGCTCCTCCTGGCCAGCGCCCCAGGCTGGAGGGTCTTGGGTTCTCCCGGGACGCCGGCCCAGCCAGAGGCGGGGGGATGGAGGGAGCTGAGCGCTCCGTCCATGGGCTGGTTCTCCACACAACGCTGGGAGCGGGCCGCGCCCCGCCGGGGGGTGGGGTATGGAGGAGCAGCGGGGCTGGAGGCGGGGGCAAAGCAGGGAGAGGACAGCGAGAGGGGGAGCACGTAAAGGGCCCGTGAGTGGGCAGCAGAGGCGACACGTAATGGCTGCCGCCTGCCCGCACTCGCCAGCCACCGCAGCTCACCGCGCGTAACCAGCGCCGGCTGGAAACGGGACAGGGAGCGGGGCCCTGCTGGCCGGGAGCCGGCACGCAGCAGGGCAGCGGCCGGCCTCGCATGCTGCATCTTCGCCCCGCCACCAGCCTTGCACATCCACCCCCGTC